TGAGAACTCAGTAGGTGTTAGTTGTCAGCATCCTCATGTCTGTGATTGTTTTAGGTATTTACAGACAAACCCCTTAGGTGACATACATTAACAAACAACATAGAGTGTTGGATAGGAATTGGCAAACTGGCCTGCAGGCCAAATCTGGCCCACCACCTCTTTTTCTATAGCTCACGAGCTACAAATGGTTTTTATAGTTTTCAGTGGTTGAAAAAATTCAAAAAGAACAACAGTATTTTATGACATGAAAATTATATGAAATTCACATTTTGGTGTCCATAAATAAAGTTTCCTTGGAGCACAGCACACTCATTCGTTTACATATTGTCTGTGGTGGCTTTCATGCTACAAGGGCAGAGTTGAGTAGTTGTGACAGAGGCTATGGCCCACAGAGCCTAAAATGTTTAGCCTCTGCCCTTTACGGAAAAAGTTGGCTGATCTTAACTTGATGCATAGGTTAAGAGCATGGACTGCAGAGCCAGACCGCCGGGTCCCAAATCCCGGCTCTGCAGCTGGCTGTGGTCTTGGGCGAAATGGGAGTAGTCACAGCGCTGACTCTGAGGGTTGTTGTGGGGATTAAAGGAGCTTATATGTAAGTATCTAGAATTGTGTCTGGAATGTTGTAAGTGCTGTGAGCTGTAATTGTTACTATTTACAGTAAAAGACATTTGCTAACTCTCTTAGTCCGTTCGGGCTGCTGTCACAGAACAATACAGACTGGGTGGCTTATAAACAACAGAAATTTATTTCTCACAGTGCTGGAGTCTGGAAGTCCAAGATCGTGGTGCTGGCAGATTCCGTGTGGTGGCTCTTGAGGACCCACTTCCTGGTTCATAGATGGCGCCTCCTCGCTGTGGCCTCACGTGGTAGAAGGGGCTAGGGAGCTCTCCGGGGTCTCTTTTATAAGCACACTAATCCCATTCACGAGGGTCCACCCTCATGACCTAAGCCCCTCCCAAAGGCCCCACCTCCTAATACCATCACACTGGCCATTACGATTTCAACATATGAATGTGGGGGGGGACACAAACATTCAGACCATAGCACTAACAAAAGTCACTGCTTCTGTACATAAAGGGCAGTCTGTATAAATTGAGAAAATGTTTTAGAAAGATACATACTGTTAACGTGGGGTCTCTGGAACATGGAATTAGAGAGGTGGAGAGGGGGACAGGTCCTATTAAGAAAAAAAATCAAAACCGAAAAACCCAGTTGCCAAACATAAGAAAATATTTGAATGAATGTTCTTCTCTTTAGGAGCCCCCGAATTCCAGTTTTCTTACTAATGACAAAGTTGTAACAAAAGCTAGAAAAATGGGTGTCATTTTCTCTTGCATCAACAGGCTTATAAAGTTATTGTAAAGATGCTGTAAAGATATTGTAAAGATTTTTTAAAAGATATAATTTGTGTACAATTTATATACTATATGTCTTATATATAATTTGTTTCATTTAGTAAAGAATATCTGAAAAATACTTGAAATATTTTAATATCTGAAAAAAATAAGTGCAAGACTTGCCAGCCAGGGAGCATGCAGTTAGAGTTTTAAGACTGGAATCTGTGAAAACCCGTGTTTTAGAACTGGGTCAGAAGAGAAGGACAGAAAGAGCATGTGTCTGAGCACCTGTATCTTTGAACACAATTGAAAGTATTTGCATTGAAATGGGCTTTTTGTTTTTAAACTGCTTTATTGAGGTGTGATTGACATGTAAAGAGCTGTGCATTTTTAATGTGTACAACTTGATGAGTTTGGGGGTAAGTGTACATCTGTGAAACCACCACCATGGAGGCCATAAACTTACCCATCACCTCCCAAAGTTTCCTCCTCCCTCCTTCATTGTTATTATTATTATTATTATTGGTAGTAAGAACACTTAACATAAGATCTACCCTCTTAGCAAATTTTAAGCATACAACACAGTATTGTTAGCTACAGGCACCATGCTGTACGTTAGATCTCTAGAGCTTATTCATCCTGCATGTCTGAAACTTTGTACCCTTTGACCATCGCCTCCCCATTTCCCTCCCCCTCCCAGCCCCTGGCAGCCACCCTTCCACTCGCTGCTTCTGTGAGTTGGACTATTTTAGATTCCACATGTAAGTGAAATCATGCAGTATTTGTCTTTCTGTGTCTGGCTCATTTCACTTAGCATATGCGTTGAGATGTTTGAGTTTAGTGTACTGGAAGATTTCTACTGCTGAGTCTTGCACAATTTTCAAAACTGGAGGCATTTGACAAGCTGCTGGTGTAAAATGTAGATGAATAACAGGTCAACGAGAGCAACCCCGGGAGCTAGAGCTGAGCCTCCCTGGCAGGGTGAACACTCCTGCCAGTTGTTCAGCCAGCAAATCCGTTCCTCTGCTTTCGTGGCCAGATGCACCAACTTGCAAAATTACTGTGGAGAGCTGCCCAGCACTTGTTTTATTTTATTTTATTTATTTATTTATTTTTTTAAAGATTTTATTTATTTTATTTTTTCCCCCCAAAACCCCAGTGGATAGTTGTATGTCGTAGCTGCACATCCTTCTAGTTGCTGTATGTGGGACTCGGCCTCAGGATGAACGGAGAAGCGGTGCCTTGGTGCGCGCCCGGGATCCGAACCCGGGCCGCCAGCATCGGAGCGCGCGCACTTAACCACCAAGCCACGGGGCCGGCCCCCAGCACTTGTTTTAGACCACCTTGCTCAGGTGGGCATATGAGTACGTCTTTTGCCCAAGGCTCACTGAGCAGTTCTTGCTCTTTCCTGCAGATATTACCAGGTGTTTTCCATGGCTTGGGACCTTTCAGTCTCCCGCTTAGCAGGTTTATGCATCAGGAGTTTACTGTCTTCATGTAAATCAAGCTATCACTTGACTTGTCTTTACACATTCGATTAAAAATGTCTTCAAAGCTGGTGCGGGTTAAAGAACGTATGATGGTATATTACTCAGCAGGCACCAGACCTCAAAGGGACTTTTGTTGCCAGTAGAATTATGTGAACCTTTACACAAAAGGTTCAGCTGTGATCGGCATCAGCACAGCTAACGTTCATTGAGCACTTACGTGGACCTCACATGTTCTGAGTGCTGTGTGTATGCTGTCTCGTTCAGTCCACATCACAGTCTATGAGGTTGGTTGCTTGATTTTTCCATTTTACAAATGGGGCTCTGACCCATGGAGGGATTAAGTAGCTAGCTGAGGTTTCAGAGCTGGTGAGTGCCAGAGTCTGGATTCAGCCTTTGGGGTAGTCAGACTTTTTTGTGTATTGATTTGAGTATATACATTGAAAATCCCAAGGCTGGTAGTCATTTAAATCTACCTTCTGTTAGCCATAGATTCCCGCTGTCAGAGTTTGAATTGAATAAATGTTTAAAATACATTGCAATGTATCAGAATTGTACACTGAAATCATAAAAATATGCTACATAAAAATCAGCCAGCAGTAATGAGCAGCATGCACTATCATAAATGTGCTCATGACACCTCCTTGATTCTTCCCAGCTTCTCTGAGATGGAACTTTGATTCTTAAAGGCATTTTATTAACTAAAAGCTTTATAGTATTTTTTGTTCTTGTTATATACTCATCTTTATTTCAGAAAAAAGAATTGTTTTGGTGTTTTTTTTTGCTGAGGAAGATTAGCCCTGAGCTAACATCTGTTGCTGATCTTCTCTTTTTTTGCTTGAGGACAGTTAGTCCTGAGCTAACATCTCTGCCCATCTTCCTCCACTTTATACGTGGGTTGCCGCCATAGCGTGGCTGACAAGTGGCGCAGGTCCGCGCCTGGGATCCGCACCCGCAAACCCGGGCCACCAAAGAGGAGTGCACAAACTTAACCACTATGCCACGGAACCAGCCCCCAGTTTGTTGTTTTTAAATAAACACTCAACATCGAGTGAACACAGTCAGATAGAAATCCTTAGAACCCGGCTTGGGGTTTAGTTGTGTTCGTCTTTTGAGTTTGCCTCCAGGTTTACTCCCCCATTCTTGTGCTGATCCAGGCCACTCGAGTGTCCTTGTGTTGAAAAATGCACTGGCAGTTGTGCATGGGACAGTTTGCCTCCACTATTGATTGTTTTGAATTGACGTCAGGTATGTTTGTTGCATGTGCCTCCTTTCACCTGCACAAAATTGCCAGTTCTCCAGGGGCAGGGGCTGTCTCCATATTGTTCTCTTTTCTCTGGAGTTTATGACGTAATGGAACCACCTGTTCAACAATTAACTACATTTCCGAATCACTGGATGTTCTTCCCCACGTGTATAATCTCTTACCCAAAATGAAGAAACGATGATCCTTAGACCCCTGTATTCGTTTTTTTTTTTTTTTAATTTTCTTTTTCCCCCAAAGCCCCAGCAGATAGCTGTATGTCACAGCTGCACGTCCTTCTAGCTGCTATACGCGGGATGCGGCCTCAGCATGGCCAGAGAAGCAGTGTGTCGGTGCGTGCCCGGATCCGAACCCGGGCCGCCAGCAGCGGAGCGCACGTACTCAACCACTAAGCCACAGGGCCGGCCCCCCTGTATTAGTTTTTGAGGGCGGCCACAACAAAACACCACAGACAGGGTTCTTAAACAACAAATATTTATTTCCCAAGGTTCTGGAGGCTGGAAGTCCAGGATCAAGGAGTCGGCAGGGTTGGTTCCTCCTGAGGCCTCTCCTTGGCTTGCAGGAGGCCGTTTCTCGCTGTGTCCTCACATGGTCTTTCCCCTGTGCTGACCCATCTCTGGTGTTTCTTCCTATAAAGATACCAGTCAGATTGGATTAGGGCCCAACTGTGACTTTATTTAACTTTTAACCATTTAACTTTTAATTGCCTCTTTTAAGTCCCTACCTCCAAACACAGTCACATTCTGAGGTACTGGGGGTTAAGACCTCAACAAAGTTCAGTCCATAGCAACCCCCAGTCGTGTGGGGACATGAGTCCTGGCTGAGCAAGAATGTGGTTTTGTGCTTTCAGAGCTCAGTGACGTTTGGGGATGTGGCCGTGGACTTCTCCCACGAGGAGTGGGAGTGGCTGGACATGGCTCAGCGTAGTCTGTACAGGAGCGTGATGCTGGAGAACTACAGGAACCTGGCATCGCTGGGTAAGGGCGTCCCCACCCTCCTCCCTCCTCCGGCCACCCCCACCCCCGACCGCTGCCCTCACTCAGAAGTCTCTCACCCCTATCACCATGCCTGGCTCTGCCCCTCTCCCATCGAGCCAAGGCGACGGCATCTCAAGTTGGGACAGACCCCCAGCGTGACCACGTCCTGCTTCTTATGTTCTTAGGACTTTGCGTTTCTAAGCCCGACATGATCTCCTCATTGGAACAGAGGAGAGAGCCCTGGATGGTGAAGAGAAAGTCAACTAGAAGCCAGTGCCCAGGTGAGCATGGGTGACCTAGGTGGGGTGAAGCCACTGCCAGTCACAGCTCAGCCACCTCAGACGTGTAGGGTCATCAGCAGACTCTTCCTAAGACTCTGGGCCTGGAGGAGACATGGAAGCCTCTCGAGCCTGGGCTCCCGAATTGTCATTCGCCCCCTGTCTCTTGTCTCCCCTCTCTCTAAACAGCCCTCTGGATCCCGTTTTTCCCCAGCTCCTTCTTGGACCCTTTGTCATTTAGACTTACATAATCATCTCTGTTCTTTAAAAAACCTTTCGCTGATTCTGGTGTAGTTTTTACTATCTTATTTCTGTTTGATTAAATGACTGTTTTATTTATGGACTTATTTTAACTGGTGTTTACTGAGTGTCAGCTTTGAGTAAGGCCATCGGGTGCTGGTTCGTAAGATGAGCATAAGCCATTAAAGAATTAACCATCTCCTAGAGGAGCTAAGACATATCTGTACATAACTTAAATGAAGCAGAAACTGCTGTTCTACGTATGATCAGTGTAAATACGGACTTAAGAGGAAGAAGAAAAATCATTCCCAATTTCAAGCCAGGGAACCAAGAAATGAGAGTAGAGCCTTTAGCAGAAACATTAGACTTAGAAGAAAGAGATTGGTAGTTAGGAGATGAGTTTGGGTTGGGCCGTAATAGACTTGGGGTTCAAGTGGACTTCCCAGTGTAGACAGGCAGCGTGCAGTTGGGTGATTGGCTCTCAGAAGAAAAGAACACTGATGCTGATTTGATGGACTATTCTTACAGATATTGCGATGATATTTATACCACTTGGGAATACAGAGATTTCAACCACAGTATTATTTCTGGAACAACAGATTAATCAAGTAAGACAAGGAATCAGAATTACAGATTTCTTCTGGAGGTTATTATAATAGGAAATGGCAACAATTGCTAAGAATTGAGAATTCTGTAAAACCTCTTTGTTCAAGTCATACTTCAAAGGAAAAGTTTGTATTGACAGAACCGGGCAGGTTGCTCAGAGTTACAAATTACAGCAACTCACATGGGGCATCATATGGCCCAGGAGAACTGAAATGGTGTTTTTGTGAACGTTTTCCATCTAACCTCATACTCAGTCACGTTCGCTGAACTAGTTTTATGAGACGGAGCTGGATTTTTCCTTCTGTTGATCCTTCACGTCTTGCTGAGACTCTCATTGATTATGAAGACTTGCACTTTTAAGGCCAGGATCTGAAATTTTGTTAGTTAACATCATAATAAAAAGGGAGACGTTGTAAAAAAAAAAAAAAAAAAAGAGAGAGAGAGAACTAGAGAAGACGTTTTTGCCAGATAAAATGGGTTAAGAGTCAGAAAGAGTCAGAGTGTTCCTTAATAATGCTGAAGTAAGGATCATATAGCAATTTTCTCCTATAGCCTCCTCTTCCTCTTTGTCTGTGTTAGCCACACTTTATCTTAGATTTCAGTCTTTGTGAGCTCTCTTATCTCCTACTCTTCAATTTCTTTTTCTGGTCTCTTGCTAAACACATAATGTGCATGGCTTGTTCAACATTTAGATGAGAAAGCTCATATTGTGTCCTTTAGGATTAAAGCTGCACAGATTTGGGAATGTAGGGTTGGTTGGTCATATAAAAAAACTTGCAAAACAATATGTTTTTTTCAGGATTTTAATTCATCTGATTACATTTTTGAAGTTTTCTTCATACTAATACTTAACAAAAGAGATACTTACTTTCTTAATATCTTTTAGACTTGAAGGCTGTGCTGGAGACCAAGGAGTTACCGTCAAAGAAGGACTTCTGTGAAGAAAAGTTACCTCAGGCAGTGCAAGTGGAGAGACTCACAAACTGCAGTCTGCAGTGCTCCATATTCGGGGAAAACTGGGATTACGATGCTCTGTTTGAGAGGCAGCCGGTAAGGCAGGAGGTAGACTTGAGCCAAGACACGATATCTTTCATCAAGAAACCCTTCTTGATAAGGAAGGAGACCATGACTACAATAAGTATGGGAGAAGTTTCCATTTGAATACAGTGCTTCTCATAGACAGAGTCTCCCCTCCAAAGAAAGAGTACTCAGTCTTGATACTCCAGAGGAAAAGTGGGGAAAAATTTCAGCTGTAGTGAATCACAAACGTGTGCATTTAAATCAGAAATGTTTGACCTGTAATGAAGGTGAGAACTTGAGCAGGGTCTCAACCCTTCCTTTTCATCAGAGATTTTGTACGAGAGAAAAACTCTGCAGACTATTGAATAATGCATATTGAATGTGAGAAGCCTTCAGTCAGTATTCGAAATTCATACTGTGTGTCAGTTCATGCTCCTCTGCAGAATTACAAATTCTCCACGGCAGAAACAATTTCTCCTATTTTTCTCCTTTTTTCCCAAACATGTATGATATAACTAGGCCCAGTCATTATGTGACCTGGATCACTCAGAGCCTAAGTGAGAATTCTTGGTACTGAGTGCCTCCTTCACAGTGTGTGGACACAGCCCACTCCCCTAGAGCCATTGAGGGGTCACAAGCATGGTTTGATTGAAAAACGTGTTTGTACCATTTCAGGGCTTGGTGACCATCACAAATATGGCCATAGACTTCTCCCAGCAGCTCGAGCCAGCTCAGAAGAGTTTCTGTAAGGACGTGATGTGGGAGAGCCATGACCTGGGGTCAGTAGGTAAGGATGTCCCTTTCCCAAATCTGAATCTACCTTCAGGATCCCCCATTTTCATTCATCAGTTTTGAAGTATGTATGTGTGTTGCAGGGGTAGGGGGGTGTCTTCTAAAGTGTTGGGCTGAATCTTTGCTCCCAATTCCTAAGACAAGAATTTGACAGTTGTGGAGTTGAAAGTTGGTATATCATTATCCTTGAAGCATTATCTTTGATGTCTTTCAGATACCCCTCACTTTTCTTTCTGCTGTTTCCTGTAGTAACACTTTTCTATCAAAGCCAAGGAACTGGTTCTCGATTTAAGAATGCCAAGAATATGACCGAACCCCTTGTCTTTTCGCACATGCAGGACGTTGTGTTTCTAAGCCAGATTTGGTCTCTCTACTGGAGCGAGGGAAGGAGCCCTGGCTGGTGAAGAGAGAGCTGGCAAGAGGCCTGTTCTCAGGTGAGCATGGGAGGCCTGGGGTGGAATCGCCACTGCAGGTTAGACTGTAGCTTTTGCTGAAGAGGCTGCATCCTCATTAATGTGCGGTGGAGAACTTTACCACGTCCTCCAGGTCTGGAGAGAAAACTGAGATCTAGGCTTTCAAAATTATTCTCTTTCCTCCTCCTTTGCCGCCTTGTCTCCAATGATCCCTCATTCCCTGTAGCTTCTCCTGTTCTCAGCCACTCAGATGTGCATCAGTCGCTTGGTTCCTTAGTGACCTTTTCCTGACCCTGATGGACTTTTGAGCTGTCTTCCAAAGGTTTACTCTTCCGTGATCAGATGGCCCTTTCACTTCATTATGCGCCCATTCCTGTAAGAACCACGGATTAAGGGCCAGCCCCATGGCTTAGTGGTTAAGTGTGCGCGCTCCGCTACTGGCGGCCCGGGTCCGGATCCCAGGCGTGCACCGACGCACCGCTTCTCCGGCCATGGTGAGACTGCGTCCCACATACAGCAACTAGAAGGATGTGCAGCTATGACATACAACTATCTACTGGGGCTTTGGGGAAAGAAAACAAGGAGGAGGATTGGCAATAGATGTTAGCTCAGAGCCAGTCTTCCTCAGCAAAAAGAGGAGGATTAGCACGGATGTTAGCTCAGGGCTGATCTTCCTCACAAAAAAAAAAAAACAAAAAGAACCACGGATTGAAAGTTATTTGAGGAAGCCTGGCATTGGCAGGTGGTTGGAGAAAGAGGGAATTTATGCATATGTTGTAAATCATCAAATAATTACTCTGATGGAGGGGATAAGACATGTTCGTGGGTAACTTGCATGGAGTAGAGTTTGCAGATTTTCCGGTAGGGCGTTACAGAGGCAAAGGAGAGGATTTCCAGCAGCTTCCTTGTTCCAGTTGGACAAGGTGGGCAGAAGTCAGATTGCAAGAAGACATAAGTAGAGGGTCTCTTCCTCTTTTGTTACATAAGGGAAGGAAAAGAAATTTCTTTCGAATATAATGGTTCAGAGAAAGTGTAATCCTATCACCTGTCTGGAAAAAGAATGGAAAATTATGACCCATAATCACATGTTAACAAGGCAATTCTAGATCCCTTCAAGTTGTGATAAGCACATATTTTGCACAGAGCAGAAATTATAGTGTGTATTCAGTCATGCATACAGATGTTTTTCACATGCATTCTGTGTTGTATATGCCATTGCTCCATTAGGTTACTTCACGTTTCCTCGTATTAGAAATATACTTACGATAGGTATCTTTATGTAAGTGAAAATGATACATTTTTGAGATTGCTGTATCACTGGATATGAACATCTGCTTGGCTTTGAAAGTTTTATTTGCTTTTAGTGACTCTAGCAATGACTAGATGACCAGAGGTATGGGTTTAATTGCATCCTCATGACACTGGGGATTTTTAATGAAAACGTACTTATTATTTGGTGAAAGAGTACAGCCTAAAATTATTTTTTTTATTATGAAAGAGGTTGAATACTTTCCCTAAATTGATTCATTCTCTTTATCCTTTTGTAAAATGTTCCTCATTTATACCCATTTCTCTATTCATATTGTAAATGTTTTCTTAACAGTCCCAGTGATTTTTTTTATATAAAGTACTAATTCTTTGACATATTGTCTCAACCTGTTTTTTATGTATGGTAATAAGAGTTTTTGTTTTAATCAGACCTTTTAAAATTGTGATATGTAAAATTAAAAAAAAATTTTTTTTAAGTGAGGAAGACTGGCCCTGAGCTAACTAACATCTTTTGCCCATCTGCGTTCTTTCTGGTGAGGAAGATTGGCCCTGAGCTAACATCTGTGTCCATCTTCCTCTATTTTGTATGTGGGACACTGCCACAGCATGGCTTGATAAGCAGTGCATCAGTCCACTCCTGGTATTCGAACCTGTGAACCCTGGGCCGCCAAAGCAGAGCGCACGAACTTAACCATTACGCCACCGGGCTGCCCCCTTAAAATTTTCATATGGTCTAATAAATTATTTCTTTTATGATTTCTCGTTCTATTTGTGTCCTTAGAAACTTGATACATATAGTTCTACTTCATTTGTTTAATGGCTGTCTTGTATTACAATATATGGAAATTCCATAATGAACTAATTTACTATTGAGGACATTTGAACATTTAGGTCTTTTCAGTTTTACCTATAATAAACAGTGGTCTAGTTTGTGTGTATCTCTTTGCATGATCAAAGTATACATATTTTTAAAGTTTCATGGATATAGTGCTATACCATTGGTGAACAATTTGTGAGAATACCTGTTTCTAGACATCTTCATGCATAATGAGTATTTTTTTTGCCAAGCTGTTGGGTGAAAATTGAGTTTTTTTTAATTTTTATTTCTCAGACTATTTGTGATGTTGAGAATAAATGCATTTAAATCCATTTAGAGTTCGTATTCTGTTAATTGTGTCTTCATAGTCATCACCCACATTTGTGCTGGGTCATATTTCCTTGCCTTTATATAGTATGAATATAAATCCTGTTTCATAGATGTGATAAATTTTTTCCCAGTTTCATGTGGCCTATAAGTTTGCATATGATGTTTCTCACTATACTGTAGTCTAGATTGAGTGGTATCTTCATTTATAGAAGCATTTACTTTGTTGACTTTTTGTTTCACTCATAGTTTTTTCTTTTTATTAATAGATGTATTATTCCGATTTGTACCACATAAATTTGTTTGGTCTTGTTCTGTTACTTACTTAACTCTTTCTTGCTCTCTTCCTATCCATGAACACCTTGTTAAGTCTTCCCGTGCATGAACACAGGATGTCTTGCCCTTTATTTAGGTCATCTTAATTTCATTCAGTAATGTTCTGTAGTTTTCAGCATACAATCTTGCACCTTCTTGTGTAACTTTATTCCTAAATAATTTGTTCATTTAGTGCTTTTTTTCATGGAATTGTTTTCATAATTTCCTTTTTGGATTCTTCATTCCTGGTGTATTCAAATACAACTTATTTTTGTGTGTTGATCTTGTATCCTGCAATTTTGATGAAGTGATTTATTAGCTCTAATACTTTCTTGTGGATTTTTTAGGGTTTTCTATATATGGGATATGTCATCTGCAAATATAGTTTTACTTCTTCCTAATTTGGATGCCTTTTCTTTCTGCTTCTAATTGCTCTGGCTAGAACTTCCAGTATAGGGTTGAATGGAAATTGTGAAAGCAGGCATCCTTGTCTCGTTACTGATTTAAGAAGGAAAGCTCTCAGTGTTTAGATGTTATTAAAAAAAAAGACTTTATTTTCCCTTTTTTCAGATCTTTTTCCGGACCTTTGACTCTGCATCATCCCCCAGTGCCACTTTCCTCTGTTTACATTTATTGAGGTATAGCTGTATAGCACACATTTTTGGTACATGCTAAGTGATTGAGCAAAAGGACTTCAGGCATATTCACTCCTGCCTGTAAGCTGATAGTCTGAGATAAGACAAACACTTGTTCAGTAGTGTATATGGTATAAGTAAATACACTGTCTGCACTCACTATGTTTATAAAAACAGTCTCTTCAAAATGAGAAATTAAATTGCAAGGCCCTATCCGTTAATAAATGGCCAGAGAAGGAGAGAGGATTTTGTCAGGCTTGTGGAAGCAAGCAGGTAAATGTAAAAATGATTTTATGTGACTACTGAGCTTCAGCCGTCAATTGCCAACGTAGGTTGTGTTGAAATTCGTGAAATAAGATACGGTTAACAGAAACACCATTTTCTGGATGTAGGAGAATGAGCGGGCTTTCAGATAATCCAGTGAATGTTACAGAATACGTTGTCTTTTGTGCTTTGGCATGCTTCTTGGAGCAACTTTTGCGATGTGCTGACTGCTGTGGCATTAAAGCAGCATAGACAGGGAGTGAGAGAGGTTCCAGGGACGAGTGTCATAGCCTATACCTTTAGGTGGTGTGATCGCACAACGTTTTTCCAACTCCTTACTCCTCTGATACATAACTGTTTGCACGTGTATTTGATTTTTTTTCTACTCACCTCTCCTAGGTTCCTGTATGAATTCAGCCTTCTGACATACATTATAGACTACATGTTTACATGTTTTAGAGGTGCATAATTTATGTGGTTTAATTCAACAATTAGTGAATTCATTCACAATTTTCCTTTTAGCACATTACTTTTTTTTCTAGCACTTGATAAAGGAAATATTTGTATTTTACTTATTTTCTTGTTATCTTTCAGGTCAACAGTCTATACGGGAGACGCAGGAATTATTTCCAAAGCAGGATTCATTTGCTGAAATGGTAACAGACAGAACTTCAAAGACTAACCTGGAGTGTTCCACTTTCAGAGAAAATTGGGATTCTGAGGGTGTGTTTGAAAGGAAGCTGGTAGCTCAGGAGGCACAATTCAAGCGAGAGACACTCACTCATAACAAAACCCTCTCTATGGAAAGAGAGCGTACATGTAACAAATCTGGAAGGTGGTTCCATATAGACGTTTCAGAAGACAGAGGTCATAACCGTGATTCAGTTAAGAAAACTTTCCCTAAAAATTCAGTGGTAATAAAACATACAGGAATCTATGCAGGAAAGAAACTTTTCAAATGTAATGAATGTAAGAAAACTTTTACCCAGAGCTCATCCCTTACTGTTCACCAGAGAATTCATACTGGAGAGAAACCCTATAAATGTAATGAATGTGGGAAGGCCTTCAGTGATGGCTCATCCTTTGCCCGACATCAGAGATGTCACACTGGCAAGAAGCCCTATGAATGTATTGACTGCGGAAAAGCTTTCATACAGAACACATCCCTTATTCGTCACTGGAGATATTATCACACTGGGGAAAAACCCTTTGATTGCATTGACTGTGGGAAAGCCTTCAGTGATCACATAGGACTTAATCAACATAGGAGAATTCATACTGGAGAGAAACCCTACAAATGTGATGTGTGTGACAAATCCTTTAGGTATGGCTCATCCCTTACTGTCCATCAAAGGATTCATACTGGAGAAAAACCGTATGAATGTGATGTTTGTAGAAAAGCCTTCAGTCATCATGCATCACTCACTCAGCATCAAAGAGTGCATTCTGGAGAAAAGCCTTTTAAATGTAAAGAATGTGGGAAAGCTTTTAGGCAGAATATACACCTTGCTAGTCATTTGAGGATTCATACCGGAGAGAAGCCCTTTGAATGTGGGGAATGTGGTAAATCCTTCAGCATCAGTTCACAGCTGGCCACCCACCAGAGAATTCATACTGGAGAGAAGCCCTATGAATGTAAGGTTTGTAGTAAAGCATTCACCCAGAAAGCTCACCTTGCACAGCATCAGAAAACTCATACCGGAGAGAAACCATATGAGTGTAAGGAATGTGGTAAAGCCTTCAGCCAGACCACACATCTTATTCAACATCAGAGAGTTCATACTGGAGAAAAACCATATAAATGTATTGAATGTGGGAAGGCCTTTGGTGACAACTCATCCTGTACTCAACATCAGAGGCTTCACACTGGCCAAAGACCTTATGAGTGTATTGAATGTGGGAAGGCATTCAAGACAAAGTCATCCCTTATTTGTCATCGCAGAAGTCACACTGGCGAGAAACCTTATGAATGTAGTGCATGTGGCAAAGCCTTTAGCCATCGTCAATCTCTTAGTGTACATCAGAGAATTCATTCTGGAAAGAAACCATATGAATGCAAGGAATGTAGGAAAACCTTCATCCAAATTGGTCACCTTAATCAACACAAAAGAGTCCATACTGGAGAGAGATCCTATAACTATAAGAAAAGCAGAAAAGTCTTCAGGCAGAGTACACACTTTGCTCATCAGAGAATTCATACTGGAGAGTCATCCACACGCACCCCTTTACCTTCCACATCAACTCCTGTGGATCTGTTCCCCAAATTTCTCTGGAATCCATCCTCACTCCCATCACCATAGTCTCAAGACATCATTATTTCAGCTAGACTACTCCACTAGTTTAAAAAAACTTGTCTCTCTGCTCTTTTTGTTTTTGTCCTTTACAAGTTTGTTCTTCACGTTGCAGTCAGATTGACTTTATTAAGTGTAAATGCAATTCATTCACTCCTCATGTAAAAATTTGTGTTGAGATCTTTTAAATTGGTTAATGCATTATTCTTAGCACGGAGGCTGATCCATACTAAGTGTTGAGTAATTTTAGCTCTTTTAAAAACATTATTTTGGGACATTGAAGAGTTACCATAGTTAACTCTGAGTAGAAGTGATGCATAGAATGAGGCTAGGAGAAACCAGATTTTAGATCAGGAACGGGAGTTTCAAGGTAGCCAGTGAGGCTTTACCAGTGTTGGTGTGAAACTTGATTCCATAGGTTGAGTTAGTATTGTGGCTTACCATCTTATCTGCATAAATGTAAGGTGATGTGACGTTGTTGGTGAGGAAATTCAACTTCACTATACATTTGCCAACAGTCTTAGAAAGTGTGTGGAGAGAATGGATGAGTGGGCCACTAGGAACAAAAGAACTGAAACAATCAGAAAAATGCGAGATTTACATGCATAAATTAAAACTACTGATGTGTTACTAAGAATTAGAAAATTTAGCAAGATTTGACCTATTTAAAGTCACCTGGGCTTATGAATGAATCCTATTAAACTTTCAAGGAACTGTTAACCTTGAGGTAAACTGATCTAGAGTAGGTGTCAGCAAACTATGACTCATGGCCAGAATCTCATTGACTGTTTCTATATGGCCCATGATGTAAATTTTAAGAAAATTTTAAATAGTTGAACAAGTGAAAATAATATTTTATGACAACATGAAAATTATATGAAATTTAAATTTCAGTGTCTGTAAATAAAGTTTTATTGGCTCACAGCCACATTCATTTGTTTACATATTGCCTGTGGCTCCCTTCACTCTACAGTGGCAAAGATGAGTAGCTGCAACAGACAACATGGCCTGCAAAACCTCAGACAGTTACTCTCTATCCTTTTACAGAAAAAGTTTGCCAACCCCTGCTCTAGTGCAGAGAAGAATATGCAAAAGGTTCTAATTATGTCTATGAGGGTAATACAACTCTCACATCAAAAACAAGAAAAACTATAAAACAATTTATGAATAAAGTTGAAAGGAAATTATTAAACTGCATTGAACAAGAAAAAAATGTCAATAAAAGAAATACATTTTTCTAGATGAAATACTCAGTACTATTAAAATGTTTGTAAATTGTCATTCACAGCAGAGCCCCAGTAGGATATGTTTACTTTGACAGTTTTAGTTAAAACAACACGAGGAAGGACAATTTGGCAAGCATAGCAGGGAAGTTTTTGAAATAGATTTCTTTGCATTTGAGATTTTGGTATATAATAAAACTGGTTTTTCATTACTGGGGAGATGATGTTTTTGACAGTTGGTTAGCCAATCTCCGAAAAAAAAAAAGTTAGAAGCACACTTACACCTTACAGAGAAATATAATACAATTGTATTTAACATCTCTAATTATTAAATAATATGTTAGAGGCAAACTAGAAAAGAGGAAGGCTCTAAGTAGGACATGGAGTTCTAGAAGACCTAAGGAAGAGAGTAAGCTGGCCTATACAAAGATTTAAAACTGTGTTGTGGTGAAAGTCACCAAAAAGATGTAAAAGGCAGTTGACAGAAAATATACACACTTATATGAAAGAATATATCATTTAGGAACAAAGTGCTATTACACGTACAAAGCAGTGGGAAGAAAATTGGCAGTGCATACCAACAGGCATGTCACAGTTGAAGAACTCGAATAAAGAAAATTTGTGAAGTTCTTAACCTCATTAATCAGAAAATTACTAATTAAAATTTCTTGGCTCTCAGATTAAAATCTAAAATTTGGATAATATCCAACACTGCTATCAATGTGGGAAAACAGGTACTTGTTCATCATTAGCAGTGTAAATTCGTCTCCTACCTTTTTGGATGGCAATATGGCATGATCTATCAACATAATAAATGTGCATTCCCTTTGAAACAGTAATTCTAGATCTAGGAATTTTATCCCATTGGAATAAATAGGTAGATGTAAATAATATTTATTGCAGAATTGTTTTAATTATGACAAATAGGATTTCAGTGTCCTGCCAAGCAGATTGATTAAATTGTGATTATTCAATACTGTGTTGTTCAGTTAGTAGAAGGAGGTTAAGCTCTATGTATGCTTCTATGGAGAGTTGTCTGTCCACAATATATTAAATGAAATATGTGATTTGCAGAACCTTATGTGTCAAATGATCTTGTAGTCATAGAGTCAAAATTAATATTGAATATATATGTGTGTGTGTATATGTGTGTGTACATATATATATATTCAGTAAATATGTTGAAATATGTTTTTGTCTTTAACACACATACTTTCCCTAGCTATTTGATGACACTTTTTGTTCTTCATTTTATATTGTTCTGGTGAACTGCTAGTCACACATGGCTCCAATTAAGCCAATCAGATTTTTCATTCTTTGTATTTTGATTGGATACACAGGGACAGTAGCAGGGCCAATATTCAGCTTTATGCATGGCCATAATGGATGTTTTCTTTCAGTCAGTATTCATTTTGATTGGTTGGGGCCCTTTTTGTACTAGCTGTTAAGTATATGGAATCTCACTCCTGGAGTGGAAGTAATTGGAATTGAGTCATCCTTTTGGCAGCATCCTAAAGATTTCTGCATCTCTATACCTATCCCTCTAGTCCATTAAAAATGACTCCTGCTTTCTCACATCCTAGTTTTGTTCAGTTCTTTAAATCTGTGGGGCACCTGGTATTCTTCCAATATTTAAATTATTTTAAATTAGAGTTATCATCTTTCAACCAAGAAAGCTGGGCCATATAGAGAAACTGATACTAGAGAATGATTATCAGACTGTAGAGAAGCAGAGTATTAAGGATTGATTATTGAATAAGATAGATCAAAAGACAGAGAAACTTGTAATCCTGTTTTGTACCAGGAAAGGATATTCATGATACAGCAGGATCATAAGCTCATTGTGCATGAGGGGATTGATAGCTCTTACCAAAAACTAGCGGTGAGGAAGAATGCTAGTTCCAAAAGTATATGTGATGCTTGATTATAATGAAATTGGTTAGGTAAAAGGCCACTTGAAATTCTGACATTTAGCAAGAAATTGAAGTCAGGGCCCTTTTATAATTGTGTTAGGAATCATCTTACTGCTTCTAACCATGAGGCTGCAATTGCTGAAGCCTAAATGCAACAGTAGATCCAGTTAGTTGCTGAACTATGATGCTTACTGAATTCCCAGCCTTGCTACTTCTCTTAAATGAAATTTATGTCTTGGGAAAGATTTGAATCCACGTTATTGTAATGGGGCTATCATGAAGGATTCAAGGGTCTTAGAAAACTTTGACTCTCTCTCAAACCGTAAGGATCCTCCCTACTAATTCTCCTTGCTGTACCTCCCTTGAGTCTGCTCTTCTAGTTCCACCATCATTGCTTGGTTGGTAATCAAAATCGGAATTTAATATGACCTGTAACTTGAAATACAGAAAGATAGGGAGGAGATTAATCTCACCTAGACATATGTAATATCCTTCACTAATTATACCATCAAAAATCTAGGGAACATTTTTGGAAATGTATTTTGAGAGTTAGAAATTACTTTGTATAATATATAAGGACTTGAAAGAATTCAAGAGTTTATAATCCTGGATTAGATTATTTATGTCCATGCCCCTCACTCATCTTTTGCAAGGTCCTGTCAGGACCCAGTAGCTTTTGTATATTCTTTTGACATAAAAGAAGCACTAACATCTTAAATTTTTCTTAACATCTCCTCCTCTAGGTACTGGGACTTCTCATAAAAGTGATTGCACTTGGAAAGGGTATCTTATTTCTGTAGTGAACAAGGACACGTGTAGTAGCTGAATTACAGGGTATCAGTTAACCATGAGAAGAAAGTGAAATGGTCATAATAAACCTCAGACTCCAAGAATGTTCTGATATCTGCTATTTCCAGTGTATTTAATAATTGATCCCCAGGGTTGAAACTACACTACGGTCTTGTTTTAATTAAAAACACTCCATGGCATGGCATGCAAGTCCCACATTGACTTCAGTCAGTTGAAAAGGTAGTGAGTACTCCTGAATCATTGTAATTAAAATCACTATGAACATGTCCACTGGAATTCCTAAAAGACTTGCATTTATGCAGAGTAAGGGCTTATGGGGAATTCTTACCTAGTGTAGCTTATAGCAGGTCCAGTGCCCACAAACCCGTACTATGGTTATTTCCCCAGGTCCTGGGTATGTATTTGTTAATGATATCTGTGATATGACTATATGACCACCAAAAGTTTGTGCTTCCTTTCCATTGTCTGGAGTTGATTCTGGAATGTGACTGCCCAGGTACATCCTACATTACTCAGGCACTATTGCTTCTAGTTTGGGCTATAAGATTAATTTTCTTCAATGTGGTTTGAATAGGAGTGATGTATGTCACTTGGGGCTTGATTATTAAGAAGGAGATGTGCCGTCTAGCTGGAAGAAGGTTCAATATCTAGAATGCAATAAAAATTATTAGATATATGAATCTTTCTCTATGACAAAAAACAAAACATAAGCCACATTCAAGAGGAAAAAGCAACTGAGACCAGTCCTGAGATAACCCAGATATTGCTGTTAGTAAACAAGAATGTTAAAGCTGCTATTATAATTATTCTGAAGGATATAAAGGAACGTGTGAGATTAACGAATGAGCAGATGTGAATTTTAGCAAATGAACACAAACAATTTGGAAATAGGATTT